GTTGCTTCGACGCCTGCACCCTGCCCTAGCTCGGGCATAGTGTGTCTAGGCGGGCATACATGTAGCAGACGGAAAAAAGAACAGGCAAAGCGCCAGAAAAAAAAACGCTTTTCTTTTCCCCCAGAGACATGCTCTGTCGAGGCAACGCCTAGTCGAGCAGCACCCGGCTGTGCAAAACACCACTCTACGTGCACTTTTTGGCCTTCACTGGGGCGCACTCTATCCAGGGGCTGCTGGCGCTTGGCTCACCGAGAGACTGCTCACCCAAAGAGAGCGGCGGGGGGTAATCTGAAATGGATCTGGGGCGAGAGTATGAGAAATAAGAGGAACACAGAATAAGAGACCAAAGGGAGAGAAAGAAAAAAGGCGCGCGGGTTTGTGTCCGAGTCCATTTCCGGCTACCGGCCGCCGCCGGTCTCCGCAGTACAAAGGAACCTCCCGCGGCCACCACTTCCAGTTTCCACGTACTTTGACAGCCGATTGCCGGCGGTGATTCAGTTCCGATGTTGCACCGCTATGCGCCTTTGCTGCTGCTCACATTTCCCGCTCGAGCGCACCCAGCCAGCGCTACTCAGCCAGCCGTGCAGTAAGAGAGTGAGAGAGAGGGGGGTGGGGGGCTGCACGCGAGCCCCGGGCTGAATCCCTTATTCCAATGCAGTATGGAAGTCGATGGGGCGTGCAGGACGAATGCCCGCCCAGCAGCTGGTCCTGGGACCGCCCGTTATCACTAGACCATCTGCACAGGTAGCCCAGCTCCAGCGCGGCGGCGGGGCGGGACGCACGGATACGCCTAGACTAATAGTTTCCGTGGGTCGTCGTCCCCCATCCAGGGTGAAGGGTGCTGCGCCTTATTGGAGGGAGGGAGGGAAGCATAAAGGGGGGGGGGAGGTTGACGGACTATTTGGCGCTGTGGTTGGTGAGAAGGTCTTCTCGAGACTCGGGTAGAGGTACTACCCGTACTACCAGGTTTATATTAGTAAGTTACACAAGAGACACGGAGCAATGGGTTTATAGTACAGACAGAGCCCGGGTGGCGGTGTGGACGGCTCCCCCCCCCACTTCCCCAACACGACGCACAGGTGCACGCTGCAAGCAGGGGGGGCCTCTGCTAATGCGCCCCGCCACCATCATTACCTTAAACGGCCCACTACCGGTACATACTGAGGAGGGGGGCACAGCAGAGGCACGGCAGCAAGGGCGCATCAGGGCGCGACGGAAGAACAAGGCTTTATGCACCCCGTCATGCAACGACGGTGAAAAATTACGGAAAATTGTGTGTTTTGCTTCCTGTTGCTAGTTGTTTGTAAAAGAGAGAGGTCGTTTATGGGCCGTTTGTTCTAAAAGTAAAGTTCAGGGGTTCGAGCAGTTCAGTAAAGTTAAATTGAAATCTAGAGAAACAACACGGTAAAACTCATTATTTACAGGCAGTGTTCGTTGCATCGTGTCCTTGAAAACGAAAAGGGCACAATTTTGTTGGTGTACCCAACCTCCTGGTGTCATATGCGGAGGTTCTCAGGCAGGCATGCCTGCAGGCAGGCAAGCGCACACACACACGGAGCAGTTTAGTTGGGTTCAAGGTGGGAATGAGGGCGACAAGGCAGCGAGCTGAGCGCGGCTGCAGCCAGCGCTTGACTCACGCGCCCGCCCC